AAGAGAAAGCTCAAGACTTCTAGTACAGAACATTTAAATAACTACTCACATATTATGAGACACATAAAGAACAGACAGATTATAGGATGAAAGCTGCTGATACTGACTATGGCAAGTGTCACATAGCTGAAATCAGGTATTTAGGAACTTTATCTCAATTCACACATCAGGGCAACTAAGGAGAAAATATCCAGTATAGGGTCCTTCAAAGTAATGCTTTACTTCCTGTCTCGGACTTCAGGGAAGCAACTGCAAGATTATCAAAACATAGCATAGCTTGAACAACTAAACAAAGAAACAAAAAATCCAAACAGAAATCCACAACCCCTGTAAATTTCACTTGAACAATGAAAAAAAAAACACTAAATAAGTGGATTACAGAGTCATGCAAAGAACAGAACCCACCATTAATCCTGCATGAGAAATCAGAATCTGTGGCACTGTTTACAGGAATGTGAGATAGCAGCTACAGGTGTACTCAGCAATACACTGTGGATTTAAAACTTTAAGCATCCCATGCTAATTTGCATAGCCTTTCTAACAAAAGCTAAAAGCTTCTTTCCAAGTTTTAACCTGTTGAACATAAGCAAACTCACATATTTTAGACAACAGGGTAATCTTTGATGTTCAACCTATGCTAGGATTAACTTCATCTAGAGATTTCATGCTCATTTTAGCCCTTTGAAGCGCTTAAATAATCTTACAGGGAAGAAAACAAAAGGAATTGAGCTAATGTTTAAAGGTTATTGTCAATAGAGGCAGGACAAGCACTTCAGCTTGATGTCAGCACAGTTCCTTTCCAAGTTATTTTGTGGTTCTGTTGCTCTTTTCAACAACATCTCACTTAATCACTAGAAGAGATTACTTATTGCTTAATACCTACCTACTGTGTTCCCCAAAACAGAGAGAGAAGGACTTTAAAGACAACAAAGCATCTACTTCACTTACATGATTAAAAGCATCAAGCACATCTAACAATCACATCAACTACTGGGTTGACAAAGACCAAGAAGTGGAAAAAAAGTAATTCTCCAGTAAAACAGAGTCTTAGGAGAACAACAGCAAACAAACAGGGACAGGAACAAGCTGGAAGTGTTCCCCTTAACAAAAGAAAAGAAAGATGCCTCCAGAAGGCTGCCTGTGGAATCCTCTGAAGAGAGCAACCTCAGAATTTTCCTCTTGGAAGCAAGTGCTACAGTCAAGGGCACAGGAGACCTGGAAACATAGGCAGTTCTCAAAAGAGCTGATAAAAAGAGCAAAGCGAACTCACTCATTCCTTAGACTAATTCCTTAATTATAAACAAAGCAAGCCTAATTCTACTTCACACAGCAAAAAGACCCACAGTCCAACAGTGGGGCCTTGGAAGGAGACAAAGCAATACCCTGACTCTCCTCATCTGTAAATGAATGCATGTGGATTGTTTTCCAAGTCTATGCAAGAAAAGTATGTTCCTGTACATTTCCAAACTGCACATAAAAGTTTCTCTATAGATTAAACGATTCTTATATGGAAAGATAATCAACAGGAAGACCTGTACACTTCAGACATAAGCCTCAAGCCAGAGTAAGATAGAATGTGTAAGAATCCAATTACCTCCATTACCAACTGCAATCCCAGACAGAGAATCCATAATGACAGAGCTCAGTTTCAAGTTACACGCTTCTGTACACATCAGCTTTATAGCACATATATATTTATCTCCCCCTTCTTCCATACTACAGTTTCAGGGGGAAAGTCATCTAAAGAAAACACCAAGAATCAAGAAATCCATCCAAATATCTAACTCCACATGCATTCACTAGGAAGACTCTTTGAGAAAAGAGAAACGGAAACACAGAACCCGAAAGAGCCTTCTCAGGTAAACCAGGTAAACTCCTCTTACAACAGGCAGGTTAGCTGTATGATATGTCCAACTTAAGCTTCCCAAATTCACCCTGAATTGTTGCCATTTAAAAGTTGCTTTGGAACTTTGCTTTTCTGCACTTAGTGGTTTCTCGCTTGCCATCTTCAGTGTGTCCACAGACAGCTCATATCCACTTCTTCTTGTGCCAGCGCTGCCTTTTAGATTAAATGGTTGGGTTTTCCTCCTTATATTTTACTTTCCAACAGTCTCCTGGAATCCAAGTCCATTTAATGCAGTCATTCAATGAATATTTCAAAGGCCATTATGACACATGACAATCAAAAAGAGAAGCCCTAGGCTGTCACTTTCAAGGGACACTTTTCCACCTCCCCTATTAATCTCTCTGTGCCACTGTAGTTGTCTTCTGCTGATGTCCACCCAGCAAATAGATCCTGTGAACCAACCACCTCAAAACCAACCCAAAACAAGGTTTGCTTTTTGGTCACCTCAGTTCCCTGTTTCAGCTCAACACACAACTGCCCCTATTTTCCAGCTTTGAAGAGGTAGGACAGGAAAAGGGAAGAATCTTCCCATATTCACAGAGGCAGCTTAATAGTCCTCAGATGAAGACAACTGAAAGCCTCAAAATCCATTTTGTTAGCCTACTTAGACAAGCTCTTCTACATTCTCCTTGAAAACAGACTGCCCAAGGACTATCTCATCCATTCCTGGAAGTGACAGAGAGAATCCAAATCCATTCTTCTGAAAGGTCGATCAGAATTTTTATGCATCAATAAAAATACTATTATATTATAGGACTACATCTGCTGCCACTCTCACCCCCAAAACCACACCATTTCAGGAACTCATCCTTCATCATACATGGTCTCACTTTGCTCTTCCACAGGCGTTCTCATGTTCATTTCCAAGCCTGTACTGTTATTATTCACTCCTATTGCATGCCTTTGTAATGCACCCCATCTCTACCATTCCAGCATTATCATCCAGCTCTTCCACAACATTCCTGTCTTGCTTTGTAACACTGATTCCTCAAGTTTGCTCACCATAGCTTAGATTTCACAACGCCAGTACCGTATATGTGTCCCAAATTCAATCTTGAGAAACATCCTTTGCAAGCACCTCTCAGACCAGCAGCTCTTATTCTGACACAATATGCTGCTTCTTCCTCACCTTCATACTATTCCTTATTCAGGTACCAGCTCCTGTGCTAATTCCCCATTATCTCCACCTTAGAAAAAAAGGTTTTTTTCAGTGCTGTGTGATCTGTTTGCAAGTTGCAGGCAGATTCAAGATTCTCTCTTTGTTCTACAGAGAAAGTAAATCACTTGTTCTTGCAAAAGATGCAGGTAAGTCAGGCATGATCCATCTCCAGTGAATGCCCTTAGGACTCAGTCTACTTAGTCTCATGTTAATTCTTTCCTTCATCAGTTCTCTAGAGACTCATGTGCTACTGATGTCAAACTCATTAGGCTATAGCTGTGCAGCTCCCTGCCCCCAGTTCTTTGAGGAGGCTACAGTTCAGTAACAAATCTGCTAAGTCAGAAGTAGAATACATTTGAAATTAGATTTCTGGTTAGATTTCCCTCAGGAAGCCTGGCTGTGGTTCTACCAACTTACCTTCTACTCCTGCAGTTCTCCCTGCAACACAGCTACCTTAACCCTTTCCCCAACTGCCTTCATTTCCAACTTCTCCAGTTCATTTCTTAAGAAACTTACAGAAGGATTTGGTTCAGAGGTATTCCGACCCCATTTTTGACAATACCTGAAAACATCCCTCTACAAACATTTCACTGGCAGCAAGATAAAATTCACTGTGACTAATGTATAGGTGGGTGGGGGTTTTCTGTGTGTTTTTTTTCATTGCATCAACACACTATAACATTACAAGGAAAAAAATACAGGCTGCAGAAGAAGACCAGAAGCAACTAAAGTGATCTCTGCTTTTATTTCCAACCTATGTCTTTTCCAAGAGGTCAACAACAATGTGCTCTTCCTCCTACAGATAACCAACTAACACTCATCTCCTCATAGTCTTTGACAAAAAAGTGACTGATAAATACTGCAAACCTTGCAACCTAGATTATCTGATCACTTCACAGGAAGATCCTTCGAACATCCACATTTGAACAGCCCCTAAACACCCTGAGGTGAAATTATGCATGCCAAAACCTTGCAGATCTTCCAGAAAAAGAGATGGAAGAATACCTACAATGAATTATTGCACTTGTGCTTCAGCCTCTGCTGGCATGAAGAATGGTTTTACACATTACTATGCTGTGCTTGTTTTGTTTCCTTAGACATTAACAAAGATTAATTTAACTCTCTGCTACCTTGTATGAAACGTGTTTGTGTTACACCTATTCTTGGATAGTCATCACCATGGCATTATTGTTTTGTCAATGTTTTGTAAACACTACGGATGCCCCACGGACAAAGACTCGCTGCAAGTCCATCGCTACATCTATCTTGTCTTGTCACAGCAAAGCAACTGTGCGTGCAGCCCAGCTGGGTAACAGCATCTCCTGTTTCAAGGGTTAAAGTAAGCCGAGCATGACACACCTATGAAATACACAACATAAACTTATTCTACCTTACAGGCTACAGGAAGCAGCCAAGCAATTACTCAACAAAGGAGCCGACACTCAAAACTTAAATCACGGGTAGTCCTGTCCCTTGGGGCCACCAGGCTGCGTGTGCACAAGCTGTACCTGTGAGAGCAGTCCGGCAGGAACAGGAGGCAGGTAACAAATCTGTTTTCCTCTTAACTCTTAGCCCGAACGCCCGACCCACAGCAGCCACAGGCGCAGCACCGATAGCGGTCACGTACGCAGCCCAGCAAACATTAACCACCGCCCGGGGCGGGCTGAGTCATGGCCCCGCGGCTGAGGGAACCCCCGGCCCAGCCAGGGGGAGGCCGCAGCCCTACTGCGATCAGCGGCCCCTCGCCGGTTCCAGCCCGCCCTGAGGTAAAGGAAAGCTCCCCCTCATTCCCCAGGCCCCATCGGATGCGCCCCTCCCGCAGCGGCTCCAGCCTGCCCGTGGGCCTCAGCCGGGCCGCCTCGCCACGGGCTGAGGGCAGAATAAGGCAGGGAGAGAGAGCGAAAGAGGCAGACGACGGGTACCGCGCCGCCTCACCTGGCAGCCCTTCTTGTGGTGGAACCCCACCACCACGATGTGCAACACCGGGCCCCGATTCTCCATGAAGCCCCGGCGATGGCCGCTCCGGAGGATGCCACCCTGCACGAGCTCTCGCTCCGCCTCCTGCCGCCCAGGGTCCGACAGGGACGCGGCCCCGGCGGCCTGTGCTTCCGCAGCACCCAGCCGCGACCGGCAGCCCCTCCCTCCCTCCGCCCCGTTGCCAAGGCGGGGTTTCGCTTCCGCCCGGCCCCTCAGGAGGTGCCCTGGGCCGTGTGCCGGGGAGCGGCGGTAATTTGCTGTTGCTGTGCCGGGCACTCTGGAGGAAACCTCAGCCCATCGAAATCACTGCCAGGGCGTGCGGCTGCGTGTTATCCTGCGGCCGGGAAAGCATAATGGAGGCCCGGCAGTGGAGTTGCTGAGGCCTTCCCGCCAGTCCTGGTCCCACCATGGTGCCTCCTCTTGGTGGTGGTCTACTTCTTCTCTGAGCAAATCTCTCAAAGCTCCCCTGAAGCGCAGAGAACAGCACATCCTCGGCTGCATCCTTCTAGCCATGCATGTTAATGGCAGCGCATAAAGAGAGTCTTGGATGGTTTCTGTCCAGGTTTGTCATTTTGGAGCACAGGAAAATTTAGTGTGGTTTAAAAACATAGTGCACTCAGGCCATCCTCCCTCTTTAACCTGTGTTATGACTCAATTCTGCTTATATAAATCAACAGCATTCAGTAAAGACTGGACATTGAATTATTACGCTGGAAATTGGAGGAAGAGATTATTTTTTAAAGAGCTGTAAATGAATAATGCTTAAAGAAAATCTCAACATGAGCACAGTACCCAGAGGCTCAGATTATAACAGGAAAGCATGTAATTACATATGGTTCCTCAGCTCCAACAGAAGTGCCATTATAGAAAAAGTATACTGCAAGGAACACAGGATAAGCTACAAAGAACAATCCAGCTCTGGCAAGTGAATGATTTCTTGTTAGTTTTAGTCTGTAACTTACTGTTTAGTATCATTTTAAAAAGGAAAAGTGTATGAAGTATTGGCCATTGCCTACTGCAGTAATGAGACATCACCCCAAAGATGTATGGGAGTGTTTATAGCTCATACTCAGTTCATTGAGGAAAGTGCAGCCTGGCATCACTCTTCCTGCTATGGATTTTGCATTACAGAGACATTTGTATATGATACTGCTGGATAATTATACCTTATTGCGTCTCTAAATAAATTATTAGATTTTTTTTTCTGCTTGAAATTTTCTTTCCTGCTAAAACAGTAAAAACATTGGATTGACAACATCAACCTCTTGTAGGAAAACTGGTTGATATAATCTGAGTTTTTTTTTTTCACAGCTCACCCCACATGTATTTATGAGAAAGAAAGGAAGTGAGAGCTGCTACCTAACAAGCTCATAGAGAAGTCTCAGAATTTTCCTAAAGGAATTTATTTCTTGGTGCATAGCTAGCAAACAGCAATGAAAACAGTTCTTCTGTTACTCAGAGGTAAATATTTTACTTAAGAATCACTATCGTATCATTACTGTAGTAATTGTAATTCATAGAAGCATGGAAAGGTTTGGGTTGGAAGGGACCTTAAAGCTCCACACCCCCGTGCCATGGTCCGGGACACCTTCCACTAGACCAGGTTGCTCAAAGCCCCATCCATTCATCAGTTCATTAGTAATTCTGCATTTCATAACAATAAAAGCAGTTCTTGTGTCCACTTGCTTTTGTGCCAACACTGCCTTTTAGATTAAATGGTTAGTTTTTCCTCCTTATTTTTCACTTCCTGACAGTCTGCATGTCAGACTGCATATAATGCAGTGGTTCAGGAAAATCCATGAGCAAAAATGGCAAGCAAAAAGAAAAGACTGCCACTTTCAAGAGACTGTTTTCCACCCCCTTTCTAGTCTTTTCCCTGTGCCCATGTAGACGCCTTCTGCAGATGTCTGGAAACAGAGCCCATGAACTTACCAGCTCAGAACCAACCCATCAAAACAAGGCTTATTTCTTGGAAGACTCATTTTGTAAGCCTGCCTAGCCAAGATTTTCCAAGTTGTTCTCCTCCTCTTCCTCTGAACCAGACTACCCAAGGACTATCATCCATTCCTGGAACTAACAGAATGGATTTGAATCCACTTTACTGAAAGGTGAATCAGAATTTTTATACATTGAGAAATATACTGCAAGTGGGCTGTAGAAAAAAATACATATCATACTAATTGTTTATCTTTTTGTGCTTGACAAGTAGAGTTGATTTGGAGACATCCAATGAGACACGCTTGAAATTTCTGTCCTGCTATGGAGAAGATCAAAGCACAGTGGTAAATGAAGCCTGCATGAATCCATGATTAACAGGGAAAACAGCAGTGTCGGTGATACTCCAGCATTGATCAAGCTCCATGATGCCTGTGCCTCTGCCTGGGTTCTGCTCAGAGGATCCTCTATTTGGTGAGATAAAGAAATTAAGGTTACTCTTTGCATTTCATCTATGGTTCTGTGCCTGTCCCCACACTCTGCCTGTGCCAACTTACGTCATCATTACAACTACCCTGACTGCCACCTTGTACACACTGCTCCAGGGAGAGACATAGCCCTGCACCCTCGCTATGAGGCAAGTCTGTCCTCACATTGCTCTGGTCACCGTGAAGTGATCCTGTGTGGAGCTGCATGGCAACTGCTGATGCCAGAGGTTGGATTTGACTTTGTGAACATTCAGAGTTGCCTGGGAACTAACCACACAAGAACTGAGCTAGCCGCCCTGCAGCCAGCAGCTCTACATCCTCCAAGGGTTCATGCCCTCTAAGGCAGAGGATGGAATTTATTTGGGCTTGATTCTTACAGAGGCAGCCGGGCACAAAATGTGCGATGACTCTAGGTGTTGAAATACCAGTTTTATCTAACTATAGACTGGTTTGGGTTGGAAGGGACCTTAAAGCTCACCCAGTTCCAATCTCCTGCCATGTGCAGGGACACCTTCCACTAGAGCAGGTTGCTCAGTGCTGCAGTATGAAGCAAGCGTGTTTGAACAGCCAGTGATTTTTGCTCCAAGCCATGTGTATATCCAAAAGGGCTTCCAAAAATCCGTCTTGCTGCAGCCCACTTGTGAATTAATGAACAAATCTGGGTGGGGAAATAAAGATAACTATGGCGTACAGCGATTAAAATCCCCCTGCCACTCCCCGCGAAAAGAAAAGCTATTTGAAGGGTGGGTGAGTGTATTTAAGCAGGGGAAAACGGCGGAGCGATTGCTCTGCGATCCGCTCATCGGGGCTGCCGCACCGCCCTTCACATCTGAAGCGGGAGGTGGCAGCGATTGGTCAGGCGTGGGTCCAACATGGCGGCCACCGCGACCAGCAACCCGTCTCAGCTGCTGCCGCTCGGTAATGGGTGGTGCTGCTGCGCCGCTCCGGTGTGCGAGGGGATGGGACAGCATGGAACGGGATGGGATGGCATGGCATGGCATGGAACGGGATGGGATGGCATGGAACGGGACAGCATGGAACTGGACGGAAGGGAGATGAGGGAAAGCCTGTTTACGGGCACTTGTGGTTGGTGTGAGCGGCGCTGTCGCTTGGCGGGAAGCTTGAATGGGGTGGACGAGTTCGGGAGATGCCTGCAGTGAACGGGGATCCCGGTGGGTGTCTGTGGGTGCGGAGCAGACACCGGCTGGAGCCGAGTGTTGATGCTCGGCTGGTGTGCGGTAACGAACTGCGCACCCTGGCAGTGCTCGAAGTCAGGCTGGACGGGGCTTGGAGCAACCTGCTCTAGTGGAAGGTGTCCCTGCCCGTGGCAGGGAGTTGGAGCCCGGGGGAGCTTAAAGGTCCTTTCCAATCCAAGCTATGATTCTATGGCATTAAAGTGTTCTCACTGAAGGGAACGTCTTCCTGCAGAGTTCCAGCCTCAGAAATATGGTCGTGTACTAGCAGTACAGGTACACCTTTAAAATACATTTTCACCGCACACAGTGTCAGGGGATTTGTTCAAAAGAATGTCTTCTTCTATAAAACAGTCTCTTGTACCTTTCAACTTTATTGTTTGTTTTTATTTACAGAGCTTGTGGACAAATGTATAGGCTCCCGCATTCATATTGTGATGAAAAGTGATAAAGAAATTGTTGGAACGCTTCTAGGATTTGATGACTTTGTCAGTATCCTTTGATGGAAATGTTTATGTCAAATGCTTTATGCTTCAGCTCATTTATTGCCATTGAGAGGTTTGAGTTCACTGGATAGAAACTTTTTGTGTGGGTCAGTTGTATTCTGGTATTTTTATTTTACAGATAGAATCACAGTTCAGTAAAATGAAAATAACTTTATTTTTATTTTAAAACTCTGGGCCTTATTTTCCTTGAATCTGTGTATTCAGATATGGTGTTAGAAGATGTTACAGAATTGTAAGCATTATTTCTGTTTGGTTTCCTGAGGAAAAAATATAGTATAAAATCTATAAGCAAAGTGGGTTTACATTTTTTGAATACTTGCCAGCTGAATAGTTTATATCTTGGAGTTAAACTATAGTGATGATGTATTCAGGACAGCTGTGTCATAGAGTAGCTGTTGCATGATATATACTTGTAATCAGGTTCCTGTTTTGTAGCCTTAATTTTGCATGGGTTGTGTGTAGTAGTTTGTTTGCTTTTTACATTTCCTTAAGGTCTAAGCAAAGATTTAAAAAGCTGTCAGACATAAAGATAAGTATTTATTACTTTGCTGTGCCGTGTTTATATTTGAAACCTATTTTGAGTGTTGGTGGTATTCAAGAAATTGCCAAGATTTACAGGGTGAATCTGTGTCTTTATGTACTGAGCAGAAAAGTACAATGGAACTTTATAGTTGCCAGGTAGCTTTCTTTACCCAGGTGGTCAGTTACACTGCAGGGTGGGTGATGTCTTTGTTAGTTCCAGCAATTGTCATCTTAATGCAGACATGCTTGTCAGTTCTGTAATCAAAACATGAATCATTGTCCCTGGTTACATGTTCTTATGTTCTTTTTCTAATGCTGCTTCAGTGAGATTACACCTGAGGGCAGAAGAATCACAAAACTAGACCAGATTTTGTTAAATGGAAATAACATAACAATGGTAAGTCGTCATGGTTAAAAGGCAGCATGCATTTATTTTCTGTACCTGTAAGTCTGTCAGTAATTAAGTTAAATTACTTTAAGCTGAGCTTTCCAGAGAATTCCATTGCATAAGGTACTTTCAGATACCTTCCAGGGCATATTTGTCTATGAGTGGTGCTGGAAAAGTGGTATTATTGCCTTACTTGGTTCATGTTACAGCTTAAAAAGAATAATAATAAAAAGAGCATGACCCTGATTTTACTTAGGTAACTGTTTTTCTGGGCTTGAGGTGTGCAAGGGAATCACTGGTTTTCTTACCCACTCTGGAGGCTGGTTCATACAGTGGCTTTAAACTCCTGTGAGTGTTTGCCTGCCTAAGTGTGAAGGTGGATTACATCTATTTTATCCATTATTTTATATATAAATGTGTTTGTAGCAGTTTGGATGCTTACAAGCTCATTGAGTCATTTGGTGATAATTATCCACCTGGTGCTCGAAGATCTGTATACCTTTAGGTGCTTTAAAAAAATATCTGGAGGCCTGTTGGATGATGCCATATGGAAAGCACTACTGGTTTTGTTTCTCATGTGCTGATGTATGTAGATCAGTACTGAAACAGTAATCAGATACTGTGATTAATGCATCCTTAAGCTGGATTCTGCAACGTCCTAAATACAGAAGCAGACCCAGAGTTTTTTGCTTCTCTGCATTGAAGTCTGGAGTTCCTACATAAGGGCATTCCTAATTTTGTGGGAAGAGAAGAGGAAGACTGACCTAGACTCAAGTTGGCTCTCTGTGAATGATGAATAATCTCCATTTTGCTGTCATACCTACCTTGCTCCTCCTTATTGTGTGTCTCAGCAAGTGCCATCTTGACTTCATTTCTAAGCCTTTTTCTGCTTTGGTTATTGCTCTGCATCCTTGAAGGACAGTGCGTGTTCTGACTTCTTGTATGGGGTAAGACTACCATCCAGTTCAGCTGGTGGGATAATGTCCACGAAGCAGAAGCTGGGGGTTCTTAGAATGCAGATGTTCAGCAAGACATGGACATGTTTCTATATTAGATCTTGTGTCTCTTTTGGGGGCATGTCTTCCCACATCAGGAAAACTGTGCTTTAGACTTTTTCTTACTTTGGTCCCAAAAGCAGCAGAGCTCTTTGTCTTTAGAAGTGCTCAGCTAACTATTAAGAATGTGTCAGTGAAAGAAATTATCCTCTTCTTATTCACAGTTTTCCTTTTGCATTTCTTTTTGTGTTGTTCAATTGTCTTAAAGAAAGTTCTTTACTTTCTTCACAGGAGAATGCTGTGCTGACTTACCCTGCTGCCTGTAGAAGTGTTCAGGCTCTATTAGTTTTTGGGCTGTGCTTAGCAATAAAAGTCAGAAAGGGGAAACCAACTTCCCAGTATAGCGACAGTCTGGGGAAGAATGAGCAATTGGAGAAATCCTACATGAAAGGAAGCATGTTCTATGTCTTTCTGAAAACAAGCTGTAGTGTTTCTAGACAAAAAAAATCTCCTTGAACTGAAGAACAAAGACAAAACACAAAACGTCTTATGTAGGAACTCCTTTGTGTCCTGTTAAACATTCTTTGTATTTTGGAGGTTCTTTTTGGCATGTGCTTCTCTGGCCGTAACTGATTTCCTCTGTTGCCAGAGTAAGATAATATCAAATCTAAACACCACTTTTGTGGTCTACCATGAAGTCTCCATCTGCTAAGATCTTGTAAAGCAAGAACTGTCACATACGAGTTTGTAAAACTTTAATCTATGGCACTAACACACAATTGTCTTATTCTTTTATAGCTGGTTCCTGGAGGAGAAGGACCTGAAGTATAAATCGATACAGTTGTCGTCTGTGGAGACATATATATATATATATGTATAGAATATAATATAAATAGAGCTTTTGGGATATGGGTGTGTTTGTTGGTTGTTTATTTTGTTTACGTGCTCTTGCAGTTGATATTTGATAACAGACAGGGATTTCCTCTTCAGGAAAGGTGCGCTGCTAGTGATGATGCTGACTTTGTCAGTTGAAATCATTACCTTTTTGTAATGATGCACTAATCTGTCCTGAATGAAAGGCTTTCTTTTAGTTACTGTGTTTTGTTATGTAAGTGCACAAGTTAGTTGATGGAGTAGAAAGCCAATGTTTAGTTTTTCTGCATCTGTTGCATTTGTTGATGACTCAAGTCTATATAAAAGACAAGTTGTGAGCCAAGACATTGCTGTTCTTTGAAGTATAGGCAGATACTAAGCTGGATCATTTGATTAAACACTCCTTGTGTCTGTGTCACCAGAAACTGGTACAGTGCTGGAGAATGCTGAAAAGCTCTTTAAAGTGGATGCATCTGTTTGATACTCAGCAGCCTTTGGCTCTGCTGGCCTTGAGGTTCAGCTCTCTTGGACATCTTTTGCTTGGTAAATACACTTTCTTGTAGTAAAGACACTGTAATAGTATTTGGCCAGCGAGGAGAGACAGGCCAGACTTGGTTCATGTTTGGGGGAGTAAAGAAAAAGGCTGGTGTTATAACTTCTCATCCACGTCAGTGGTGACTGCTTTCACCACTAAGTGGCGCTGTGTATCCTTAATTAAACTGGGAGCTGCTGTGTGTATGTTTAATTAAATTGGGAGCTGCCCCTGCCTGCTTGTGAAGTTCAGAGGAGTCATTTTAGAATAAACATTCTTTTGGCTGCATCTGTTCTCCTGGGATATAAAAACTTGACAGATGTTTGGAGCAACTGCTACGTTAAGAGAATGTCTGTAAAGTAAGGAATTGCCATTTCTATTTTGTCGTGATGGGCAAAAAAATAACTGATTCTAAATCATGTCCACTGCAGCTTATGCTTTCAGAATGCAGAATTCAACTGATCTCGGTGTGTAAATGTCTTTGGAGAGGAGTCACAGATGACTGCTGTTACCGTAGCCAAGGAGCGCACAGGCTCACAGAGACAGGACATGCTTTGCCTTCCTGCCACCAGAAGAGGAGTTGAAGAAGGGGGCTCAGGAGCAAGAGACTGCAAGGAAGATCCTTTTGCCTTGCTTTATCTGTCAGAAAATCTTCCTTCTGCTAGCTGGGTCTTGCCTTGAAGTACATTGAAAACTTCTTACTTTAGCCTGTGAATAGGGCAAGAGACTCCCTCCTCTCTCCCAGGGAATGTAGTATTTGGACTTGCTTGTTCTGAATATCTGCAATTGTCATGTTCAGACTGCATGGTGACAAGCTATGCCATTGACTCCCTGGATGGTTTTTCATTTCTGTCCCCATTTCCTTCTCCAGCTTTTATTTTTTTTAATACAATAAAAAATACTCTTTGAAGTTGCATTTGATTGGAATATCAACAGTTGGTCGGGGCTCCAGACACTTTATTTCCTAGCAATAAGCTGAGTCTTTCCATCAGAACAGTTAAAGTGTTTCTAGCCAGTGTAGCGATATATGTTGTGTTGTATTTCTGTTATCAGTAAGATTCTGTACATATTCCAGTGTGTGCACTTGATTTCTGCTTCACTCAGGATTTTGAAAGCAGTCTTAAACTGAAGAGAGGTTTCATGCTTGGCCAAGGAAAAGAGCAGATCTTGACTCAAAAACAACTTTTCAGGGGGAAAGGTGAACTATTTTGTGCCTTTGGGTTTTTATTCTGATAGCATGAATTCTATCTCTCTCAGGCAATCTCTCAGGATTGTCTTCTGTCTAGGGAAAAAAGCTCGGTGTTGCTTCACCCTTCTTTTCTGGTTATGGGCTTTTTTCCCCCACTTAGAGGAGGTGCTAAGACTGCTACATTTTAGGAAGACATTTTAATTTGTGACTCGGAGGTCTGCAGACATCACTCTAAAGGCAGTTTCTGTGCATACAAATGCTGTTAATCCTTTATAATATGAAAAGAGAGAGTTTATAAACTTTCAGCTGAGAATACAAAGTATTCCAGGTGGATCTGGCTTACTTTGCATTCAGTATCTCTGTAGCCTGTTGCTTAGGAAGTGCAGGTAATAAGCTTTTCAATGGAATGAGTCACTGCTGGTGTGTTTTTTTTTTCGCCTCCCCTAGAAATCTAGTGCTTAATCATAATGCACTGTTCTGTAGAAGTTGTGGATACTGGTGTCCACTTAGGGTCCCACTACAAGTAGGTCATTTAACAGAATAACCCTAGGCTTTAAAAATATGTAAAAGTTATGCTTAAAGTTTAGAGCAGGGAAGTCATCAGGTTAAAATAACTTCCTGCTTATGCCATGCAAAGTGATTGTTCCTCTCAGTTGTTGTGTTTTTTAGGGGTTTGGGCTTTTTTTCTTCTCTAAGATGGCACTGGTTACAATGATCTTTAGTTTTGCTACATGGCTGACTGGCTTAGTATGGACATGGTTCCTTTCTACCTACTCTTTCAGTTTACTTGCAGCTATAATTGATAGCTGTTTGGAGTTGTGAAGCTGTATGCTTGCCCTATAACAATATAGGCTTTTGCTGTTAAGTATCTAGACCCTTTTTCAGGATTTATTATAAATTGGTGTTTTACCACATGAAATGGAAAGAGATTTCTGGCTTGCTGTTGGCTTTTAATAGGTGTTTCATCCTTGGGGATTTGCCCAGCAATTAATTAATCCACTTTGGCATTCAGCTGAAGGACATTTTTCATACCTGTGTTTAAATATTGATGCTAACAAGCCATCGTACCCATTCATAGATCTACAGATCCTTAAATATAGGCAATAGGCATATTCTTTAATAAAGCCTAATCTTTTTGGCAAGAAGCACTGAGTCTGCCTGGTTGTGTAGCACTTGCAGCTTTTCCCTATCAGCAGACTTTGAAAAAAGGATCAAGTACACAGGATGGTGATGATTAAAATCCTAAGCTGTGTACCCATCTCAGGAGGAATGCGTGTGCCTGGGGGTGAGTGTGTGTGGTGCAGCATCACTAACATTTGCTTAGGAAAGTTTTGAAGAAGGAAGCATTTGCTGTATGGAAGATCCTTGAGGACAATTTCTGACACTGCTGAAGTTTATTGAAACTCTGCACTGGTTTCAGTGGTTATGCAGGTTTGGTTTCTGCTCGTGCATTAAATCTGAAGAGAACAAACCTGCATTTGAAGGAGGGTTTTGTACGAAGGGTAATCAAACCAGCAACCTATTTAAGAGTTATTTTAAAATACTTGGAGCGTCAGTTAAAGGCAAATGAGTAAAGTTTGCTCCTACCTATGCTCATATCCCAGAATGGTTTGGGTTGGAAGGGACCTTAAAACTTATCCAGTTCCAAGCCCCTGCCGGGGGCAGGGACACACCTTCCACTGGACTAGGTTGCTCCAAGCCCCGCCGCACGCAGCGGTAGCGGCCACGTGTGGCATACAGGGAAGGAGAAGGAGCCCCTGGAGCGGCTGCACCGCGTGGGAGCGCTGCTGGGCAGCGGCGGCTCCGGGTCCGTGCCCTCGGGGTCCGCCCCGCCCGTCCGACAGCGCCCCGGTAAGTGGCGGGGAGGCGGCGGGGCGGGGCCAGCTCAGCCCCGCGCTGCCCTCGGCTTGCAAGTGGCGGTCAGAGGCGTGCGGCGGGAGCGCATCTCCTGTGCGGGGGTGAACCGGTGGGAGCGGGAGGGGGGCAGCCGGGACAGCGCCAGGGGAGCGGGCAGGGAGGCCCCGGGGGTGCCCGGTCCCGGTGTGTCCGGGAGGGGGTCACCGGAGCATCCCCCAAAGCATCTCACTGGAGGGTGCTGGCCGGAGAGAATTTACAAAGATGGGCTTTTAGGTGCCTAAGTAAGTGAGGATATCCGTGTTGGAGGGGCTGTTCTGGAGTGCACCATCTGTAGGACTTGCCCAGGTCCTGGTTTCTGTCCTAACACATTAGGCTTAGGAGCAGGGTCTGGACATTCACACTTAGGGAGCTGGTGTCTTGTAGGGTGGTGTCCAGTGAGGCTCTTATAGAGATGGAGTTTTAGGTATGTTGTTAAGTAAGGATATCCATGATGGAGTGTTCAGTGTTCGTGGGATTCCCGTGTACAAAGACTGGACACCAAACAATGTAAACAATCAAATGCTCTAGTCTCTTCATTGAGTTACTAAATGCAAAGCAAATATACACTAACACGAAGCAGGTTACATACATACCAACCCCTGATTGCGCAGGATACTGCTGAGCAGGAGAAAGCGACAGTACATGTTGCCCAGTCGGAGGGATGGTAGGCAGTGTGTTATGAGGGTGTCCCCTGAATCAAAATGTGCATCTGACCTTCTCACCCATGTGTCCCTGCACAGGTCCTTATGTCCCCTCTTGGGTTGGAGTGGAAAATTGCCAGTTACAACATCAGCACACACGTGAAGAGATGTTTACCGGTATAAGACTCCCTTGTGCTAACAGTGGTGTTAACTGCCTATTTTCAAGGTTATGTTCCCACAACCTGTGCCAAACAGTACTTTTCCATTTTTGTGTGTTTCACCACGGATAATTATATGTTGTCTCTGACATGTGCCACCCTGTAGTCTGTGGTTGGAACACACCGATATTTTACCTTCCATACTACAGTTTTATATAATATACTGTCTACAAGGGAACAGATTAGCACTAAAAGACAAGGAACAACAAAAAATACATAAAAACCCAATACCTACTACTAATAGTAATATAACAGCTTTTTGCAGCCAGTCCCACCCCCATGTCCACCCCTGAAAGGGGTTCCACCTGGTGTTTTCTGCTAGGTGGCTAGTGAGGGTCTTTAACTTTTGTATTTGTGCATGTATTGGACTGGAGTGGTTGCTTAAATTCATGCAGTGTAACCCATCAAAGTCTTCACAGCCATGCTTGTGTACCAAAAGCAAAAAAATCAATTGCTGCCCTAGTTTGCCCCTTGCATGATCAAGGCGGTGAGCACTTTGCTTTGGTTCTTCGCAGATTGGTAACAAGTCTCCAGATGACACGGAGGAGAAGCAAAGCAAATCGGTGATGTCCAGGCTCCAAAAACAAGATTTCACCAATGTGTTGGCCAGATATACTGGGAGTCTTTGGCACCTGGAGATAGATGCTGTTACTTCCAAACACACAGTCCTTGGCTTTCCTTATCCCCTTCTCTGCTTAAGGAGTCTTAAATCACACAAGAGCAGCTTCTTGAGACTAGCCTTTGA